CAGTAATGGGGCCTCCACAGATGTTCTTTAGCCAGAGTTCTATACTCTGTATTTCCAAAACAAATCCCAGGAAACTGAGGCATAAGAATACATACTGAAGTTGTTCAATGATCTCAGTCATCAGGATATTTTGGTTTCACCTCTCTCTATATAACTCTAATTTGCTCCTTTCCCCCTCATCCCCTTCCTGCCACTGACCTCAGTTAGAACCTCTTTAGCTCTCTATTCTCCACTTTTAAGGACCCTTTAAAGTTCCAAATAGTCTGTGAAACGGGGATGAAAAAAAAGAGAGATGAAGAATGTAAGTGTTCCTACCTCTTGTGCCATGTATATGTGGCTATGTGTTGCCGGGATCTTTTCATCCTATGATAACCAGGAGTAGGGGCACCTACAGCCCAGCGTCCCTATTCCAGGAAGGCGTCTATAACCTGTCAGCTCACCGAGGAATGCTCTGCCTCTGGGGCAGTTCTGTGTAGTCAATAGAACACCATCCTGAGATTCATAAAATCTTTCTCTGTCCACCACCTCTGTGACCTCAAGGTTATCTCTCAATGCCTGATGAAAGGAGTTGTCCAACAAACAAGACGGGCTGTCTCAGAGAGAATGGCAATGCCTGGAAGTCTTAGCACATGACTGACTGTCTGTCACATCAGTACATATTCAACTGTTCCCATACTGTACTCACACCCTTGTCTTCTACTTTCTCATCCAACCAGTTTCCCTTGCTGTGTGATAGGCACTGCCTTCTACTTAGAAACCTGAGCATCTTTTTCAAGTCCTCCTTACTCACCATATCCAGGCAGTAAAACATTCATAAACATTCCTGGGAAAGTCTCCCCTTTCCAAGCCCACAGGAATTGCTGCTCAGACACACCATCACTCCCTTTAACCACACAGATCACTGGGTCATTCTCTGGACTGGCTCTTCCTGTCTTCACAATCTCTCTTCCTCCAGTCTGTTCCTCACCTACCTATCTGGTTGAACTTTCTAAAGTAAAAATTTGATAATGTCACTCTGTCTTAGAACCCTTCAGTTGCTTCTCAATACTACAGAATAAAATTCTGACTTCTTCAGTTCAGTTCAGTTCAGTCGCTCAGTCGTGTCCGACTCTTTGGGACCCCATGGACTGCAGCAGGACAGGCTTCCCTGTCCACCACCAACTCCCAGAGCTTGCTCAAACTCATGTCCATCGAGTTGGCGATGCCATCCACCCATCTCATCCTCTTGTAGATCTTGCCCCTACCCGCTTTTCCACACTAGTCTTCAGTTACTCCCATTAAGTCAGCAGTAGTTAACCCCATTCAGCACCATCAACACCCTTCACCATGGGGTCTGTGGGCCAGCCTACTTTACAGCTGGCCTGAGACCACCTTCCTCACTTTGTCTTCTCATTTAGGACTTGGTGGAGGTTCATCCTTGCCATGATGGGTTCCTTAAACTCCTTCCACTTAATATTGTGTCATCAGTCCATGCTTCCATCCTGGCACTGATAGCAACAAATTTCTTTACACGTTTGCCTCCCCCATTCAACGTTGGCTCCTTTGATTGAACTTTGTTTGCTCACTGTCCATGTCAGGCCTTGAGCACCGTAGGGTTTTATAGACAATCAATAAATGCTAATTGAATAAAAACTGGTGCAAGGGTTTAGTGTCTGAGTGCATGCTAACCGCAGGGGAATTGAAAAAGATGACCTCCAAAATCCTTTTGAATTCTCAGATTTTCATTTGAGGATGTCAGTCCCTTCCATAGTTTTCAAATCACACTCACTTATGACCCTCACCCATAACTTCAAGGTATTCCTCAACCTGAGCTTTAGACGCAAATGTCAACCTGCCTGTTATATAACATCAGGTGCTAGCTGAGTGAACATCCCAAGTTCAGTACGTCCAAACTTTTTATTTATTGCTGTACTGGGTCTCCGATGCTGCACTCGGGCTTTCTCTAGTTTCAGCAAGCTGGGGCTACTCTACAGTTGCAATGCCCGGGCTTCTGATTGTGGTGGCTTCTCTTGCCATGGAGCACAGGCTCTAGGCAGGCAGTCTTCAGCAGCTGCGGCACACAGGCTCAGGGGCCTCACACAGGCTTAGTTGTTCCAAGGCGTATGGAATCTTCCTGGACCAGGGGTTGAACCCAGGGCCCCTGCATTGGCAGGTGGATTCTTAAACACTGGACCGCCATGGAAGTCCAGTATGTCCAAGACTGACGTGCTTGCTCATACAACCTGATCCACCCTGCCAGTTTTCAAATGGCATCATCCCTTTTTTAGGGCCCCATGTTAGAAACATCCCCGTTAGTCAGTTCAGTAACTCAGTCATGTCCAACTCTTTGTGACCCCACGGACTGCAGCACGCCAGGCCTCCCTGTCCATCACCAACTCCTGGAGGAGTTTACTCAGACTCATGTCCATTGAGTCGGTGATGCCATCCAATCATCTCATCCTCTGTTATCCCTTTCTCCTCCCACCTTCAATCTCTCCCAGCATCAGGGTCTTTTCAAATGAGTCAGTTATTCGCATCAGGTAGTATTAGAGTTTCAGCTTCAGCATCAGTCCTTCCAATGAACACCCAGGACTGATCTCCTTCAGGATGG